ATTTTAACTTATAATCAATCTGGGCATGGTGGTACACACCTTTATTTCTCGCACTCAGGAGGCAGAGGCAGGTGGATCTCTGTGAGTTCGAGTCCAGTCTGGTCTACATAGTGAGTTCCAGGCCAGCTGGGGCTACAGGGGACCCTGTCTCCAAAAGATTTAAAAAAAAAAAAACCAACGACAACATATAATCCGTGGAAAGGAAACCAGGATATCAGAACAGGAGGCCCTGGTAGCAGTCTCAATAAAATGCCCTCATGAGAAATTACCAAAAAATCTCTATTCAATTTTGGTTTCAGGCTGGGGGGAGGGCACACATGTGGAGGTCAGAGGACAACTTATAGGAATCTTCTCCCTCCACCATGGGTTGGGCTCCAAGCATCAAAATCCAGTCATAAGCACCCTGGTTGGTAACAAGCACCCTTACCTGAGCCATCTCACCAGCCCTCTAAATTAATTTTCTAATGGTTAAAACCAACATGAAATAAATCCTTTAAAGCTTTGATCATAGGAGCTGAAGAGATGGCCCAGTGGTTAAAAGCAGTACTACTCTCTCAGAGGACCCAAGTTCTGTTCCCAGCATCCACATCAGGTGGCTCACAACCATCTGTTACAGCTCCAGGGGCTCTGATACCTCTGGCTTCTTAGGGTACCTACACACACACACATAATCAAAAATAATAAAATAAAATATTTAAAAGTTATAAAATGGGAGTTGGGGATTTAGCTCAGCGGTAGAGTGATTGCCTAGCAAGCACAAAGCCCTGGGTTCGGTCCTCAGCTCTGAAAAAAAAAAGAAGTTATAAAATGAAACACGGGCTGGTGAGATGGCTCAATGGGTAGAGGCACCTGCCACCAGATGACGTAAGCCTGATCACCTTAATTCTATTGACAGAACCCATGTAAAGGTGGAAGGAAAGAACAGACTCCACAAAGTTGTCCTACAGGCACACACCCACATATCATATACACACAAATAATAGTAAAATATTTTAAAAATAAAACATAGATTCCAACTTCTCATTTCTTGAGAATTAAAGTGCTTCCAGTCAGCAAGAACTAGAGTGGAGGGTCTGGGAGAGGTGCTCCCACCACCACGGCTCTTGAGATTTTCTACCCACAAAGAGAAACAATGGGTCAGCATTACGCTACGGCCCAGGCTGGCATCCACTTCTCTGCTCCCTTCCCCAGACCATGCCCTTCAATCACAGCCAGCCAGACCCACTTCAGCTGCCCGTCACATACGGGCCTGCAGTGCTGTTAGGTCTCATGCCAAAACAAAGTAGGGAAGGGGAGACCTTTTATTCCCATTCCCAGAGTCTTACAAGTGGGCCCACATGGCCCCACCATGCCAGACTTCCTAACACTGCAGTCAACTGGAGTACCCTTCCTAGAAGTCTCCCTGAGGAGTCGAGGCAGCCAGGACCTTTCTTTTTCTCTTAGTAAATTTCCCCCATACTTCCAGACTTCTACATAACCCACCAGTTCACAACCCACTTCCTCCTACATAAATGAATGGCCTTCTTGGTTTTTCCTAAGGCCTTTACACTTCCTGTCCTGTGTTCCAGTTGAATCTCAGCTGTGCTCTGCACTGCCCTGCACTGTGCACAGGGGCCTAGATTTCTGCAGATCACACCCTTAAAAGCAGGTGTTGTGTCTCATTCTAGAACAATAACTAGATAGATCATGGGAATTCAGGGCACATTAATTGAACCATTAATTAAATGAGAAAAAGATTCCCCAGTCCCAGTGAATGATCTGCTTATCTGAAGGAAGACAGAACGTAGCAAGAATTCCAACCTGACTCCTTGAAGAAACAGAAATCAACAGTCACCTGCATTCATGACATCCCACTCCCTGCCAGTTGACCCCAAATTTTCTGCAAGGGTCTGTTGTAGAAAAAGTTTCACCAAAGGTTTTAGGTTTGATGATAGAAACCTCACCTTGTCCTTCCTAGGCTGCCCTGCCCCCACCAAACCCGACTCTTTCCTAGAATATGCAATGCAGAACTTAGTCAACAAAGGCTTTCCAAAATGGAAAGGCATTCAGAAAGTACACCAGCACATTTAATATTTTCTTCTATAGTCTTTCTTTTCTTTTTCAAACTAAATTTTCTTCTCTTTCTATCAGCTTCTCCTGAATGGCACCAATCCCCAGCTACCTCCCTCCATTGCCATCTTGTCCACAGGCATCCAGGGCAGCCAGCCTCCCTCCCTCTCTCCCTCTCTCTCCCTCCCACCCTCCCTCCCTCAGCTCCAGGCTTAGCATCATCCCCATTCTCAGCTGCCTCCCTCTGGTCACCTTCCAAATCCTCTGGCCTCACTTTCTCACTGTAGCTTCTAGTTTCTCTCTCATTTGAAATCAGTTATGACCACACACATACACAACCACACCACACCACTACCACCATACCACAGCACCACACCACACCACCACCACACCACACTACCACACCACCACCAACAGCAACAACAATCAAGTAGTTTTTCTTCTTCTTTTAAATATTTGCAAAGCAGCACAAAAGGGGTCCTGATTCCACAAAAATAACATTACAGGCCAGGATCATGAGACTTCTCTGTTAACAGTTCTGAAATGGACCACTGAGAGGAAACTCAGCTATTGCATAATATTTGATAGGTTTGCTCACTTGCTGGTTGGAGAGCCTTTGCACTTCACGATGAGAAAACGGAGATGGGCAAATTTAATGCAATTTCCTTTGTGTTTGAGCTGGCTCAGGCTTGCGACACCACAGTGACAGTTTCATTTTCCTTGAGGTACAACTTCAGCATCATCAAAAGGATTTTAAGGGAATGATAAATCATCTTTCTAGCTCATTAGCATGTCTATCCTGACAGTACCCCAAAAAGTCCTTCTTGATTTGCACGCTGAAAATTCTTAAAGGAGTCTAGCAAAAGTGTTTAGATAAAATCCCAAACATGGGAAATCAAGTGGCAGCTCAGAGGTTTCCGTTAAATGAAGGACTTTCTTCAAAGCACCAACAGAGTAGCAGAAACAACTGCCACTGCCACTGCCCAGGACCGTCTCTGCAGTCTTCTCATTGGGGCCATCTTATTCACTCCAAAAAGGAATGGTAGCACCCAAGAAAAAGAATCTTCTTTTCTCCTCACAGAAAAATTCACATGAATGACTTGTTTTTTTAAAAAATGCTGGAATTCTCCCTGGTCAGCTTAATTCCCTGGCCTCTGCATTGTGACAGCTGGAACAGATGGCGTCTGGGTGAGACACCTTATATGTCAAGCCTGCGGTGATAAGGTCTGGTTTTAACCGGTGATGCTAAATCCAAGGTCTGGCAGGGTTTTCATCACCAGCAGCAACTCACAGGGATTTCTGACCTCCCATGACAAATTTTCCAGTTTTCACAGTGACAAGGCTTATTTTGCTTTGCCCTGATAATCTTCAACTTTAGATTAATTCTTAATATTTAAAAATGTAACAATATGGTGAAGAAAGACTATTTCTTCTCATGTGAGTAAAGGACAGCTATACATTATTTTGCCAGACAGCCTACATACGATGCAGTCTTTTCCAATAGGCCATTTTCCAAGACTTGAAAGGTACCAGAAGATGTAAAGCCCAAATGAGGGTCCACCTGGGCAATTCTACATCTAAGTATTATATAGACACAGAGAATAACACAAACGAGCGTTTCTTAAGATTTTTACCCGTGTGTCTATTCACAGAAAATGCTACGGAAAAAAAAAAAAAATGATGGCTCCTCTTCAGCTGTGAATGTAAATTAAGCAGCAGCTACAACACTGGATCTACCCTTTAAGACTCCACAAAAAAAGGAATAGTATACACAAACGCGCGTGCACACACACACACGCACACACACACGCCTCTATTTCATTCTGAAAACTGATTCAAAGCTCAGTATGGAAAAAAAAAAAAAAAAAAAAAAAAAC